TTTTAGCCAGTAGATCTTATTTTATAGCATAGATCTAACTCTTTCTTGAATGCCTTTGACACAGCCAGGCATTAAAAGAATTACTTCTTAATAGACTTTCTATAAAAACCTGCAATTCCTCTTTTCTAAAATTATGAGGGTACTATATTGCAGAAAAGCTACAAATAAGACAAACTCAGTAATAGAAAGTTGAATACTACCAGCAATTCAACTGGATTATTTGATAAATGGAAAATAATGATGAGAACTCTCTGTATCTCGCAATTGCCATCAGGAGGTCCTCAAGACAACTTGAAAAAATTAGAAATAACAGATTTCTATATCTGAGGTCTGGAATGGATTATACTTTAAATGTATTCTAAGCTGCCTTGAGAACATCAGTTAGAAACCAGGATAACTGTCCTCTTGTAGGGAAAAATAAATCAGTTGCATAAATTGTTACAAAAGAAGATATGTTAAATTTCAACAACATTATGATTTGGGGGCAGCACAAACCAGTTAGTAGGGTTCCATTTTATATATATGAGTAAAATCATGTGTGAATTAATTCTGGGGACTACACAACATTTTATTGTGTTTTCTACTTTAAAAATGGAAAAAAGACCTTTAGATTTTGCCAATTGTACTAAGTCTTGCTCAGCCATGATTTGCTTAGGAAATTAGAATTTGCCAGGCTTGCTCAAAATGCTATGCCATTAACTGGGGTGAGGTTCATAAGCCACAATGACTAGAAATACACAACCTCCTGAGCCATCCACCATTTATTTTAACAAAATGCAACTATTACCTTTTTGTTTTCTTTAAATCCAGCTATCATATCTAGACTGATTCCCAGAAGGCAGTAAAGAGTTCAGAAAGTTATGGTAAATTTACTCAAGGTTTGAGTGCTGACTTAAAACAGCCAAAAAAGAAACAGAAAAAGGCATAGAGTTTTTCTGATCATTTTGTCTAGGTTTTAAGCTGTGTATTGTACTGTATGGCATGTTACATTTTCTGCACAGATCCTATTTGGAGCCAAGTTCTTATTTGAGCTTCACTGAAGTTGCAAGCTTAAAATATTCCCACAACCTATGGTCTTATTTTATGACCCTGAACATAAGCTAAAGGTAAAGGAGTCCCTGCGAATTTTACTCCACTAGTTGCTGCCAACTATAGGGTGTGGTACTCGTCTCCATATCAAGGCCACCTGAGCCAGTGCTGTCTGAAGACATTTCCACAGTCATGTGGCCAGCATGATGTCATGGAGCACTGTTACCTTCCCAGCAAAGTGGTACCTATTTATTCACATTTGCATGCTTTCAAACTGCTAGGTTGGCAGAAGCTGGGGTGAGGACGGGAGCTCACCCCATCGTGTGGCGCTTGATCTCAAAAGCACTCATCAACTGCAGACATGACTGGTCAATCTGCTGATGTTCCTCAGTGTGCCCTCAGACATTTTCCTGGTGCTTGCTAAACTCCCTGCTCTGTCAACTCCTCTTTACCACATTTCATTAACCGACCCCCCCCCATTTCCTTTTTATGACTCAGTAGTCCCTAACTGGGGTAGAGTTGGGGCAACTAGATGGAACTGAGCATTGATAGGCTGGAACAACAACAAACAGTAATGGTGCTGATATAATGCAAAGCAAAACAGAATGCCCGCCTCTAATTTATTTTTCCCAAGAATGCTTACATGTGTTATACCAGTGCTTTTCAATCTTTTTACAGATTGTACCTCTTTTAGGATATGGCAATATTCAAGTACCACCAGTCGGCTAGCAAGGTGTCAAAAACTTGATGACCAAAAAAGGAAAAAAGTGATAAAGTACAGGTAGTCCTCGACTTACAACAGTTCGCTTAGTGATTATTCGAAATTACAACAGCACTGAAAAAAGTGACTTATGACCATTTTTCACAGCATCCCCAGGGTGATTCATATTTATGACGGCTGCAATATTTCAGAGTCATGTGATCTCCTTTTGCAAACTTCTGACAAGCAAAGTCAATGGGGAAACCAGATTCACTTAACAATGGTGTTACTAATTTAACAACTGCAGTGATTCATTTAACAAATGTAGCAAGAAAAGTCGTAAAATGGAACAAAGCCCCTTTAACAAATTTCTCACTTAGCAACATAAATTTTGGGCTCAATTGTGGTCTTAGATTGAGGACTATCTGTACAACTACACTTTTAATGGGAAACTTGTGCCTGTTTCTCTGATATTAAACTTAGCACTGTTCTATCCCCTTCTCTCCTTCTGCTTGTCTCAAAGAAGCCTCTCCTCCGTTCTCTTTCTCTGTCCCCTTCTTTCACCTTTGTCTTTTTTCCCCCTTTCCTGGAAAAACCTCCTCCTTTTATATCCTCTCCTCTCTTCCCCCTCCTCCTCCTCCTTTTCTCTTTGGTGCAGTTCCAGCTGACTCCTCTCCCCAAGGCTGTGCACTTCTCAGTCTCTCTCCATCTCCTTTTCTTTCCCCGTCTTCTTTTTTTTCCTCTCCCTTCCCCACCAAAACCTCCCCCTTTTTTAATAATATTGTATTAATTTTATATTATTACAATTCATTAGTGCTTAATGAACAATATTTTGTCTAGGTTGTTTTGTTTTGTTTAGTAATACAATTTAGTTCTTACTCTTTATTCTGTTTTTCCAGCCATTGATAAAATAAGTTCCATGTTTGAAAATATTCTGTATCTTCTTTTTCTTTGATTCTCAATGTAACTATCCATTTCAGCACAATCCAATATTTTCTTAATTATCTCTTCATCCAATTGTGGGTTTTTTTTTCTTTTTTTTCAGTGCTGAGAAAATGCAATCCTCACTGCTGTTAATACATGTAATGTTAAATATACACTTTGTTTATCATTTTTTTCTGGAATTATACTTAATAAAAAAAGTTCAGGTTTAAAGTCTATATGGTTCCCTAACATCTTTTCTATCCAATTATGTATTTTTGTCTAAAAAATTTTTTGCTTTAACACACGTCCACCACAGATGATAATATGTACCGGGATTTTGATTACATTTCCAACATTTACTAGACAGGTGGAAGAGGCCATCTATAAAACATTTTATATAGGTTTTCTTTATATGAAGTTGTCATTGTCAATTTATAATTTATTTCCCAAAGATTTTGCCATTTCTCTAATTCTATATTGTATCCAAACAAATTTGCCCATATTATCATTGTTTCTTTCACTTGTTCGTCTTCCATTTTCAAATTCAATAAAAAGTTATACAATTTCTTAATCAGTTTTTCATCAGAAGTCAACAACACCTCATCAAATATTTTCTGGTCTTTATAAAAACCATATATTTTAACATCTTTATCATACTTCGATTGCATTTGCAGTCAAGGCCACCATGATAAGTCAATACCCTGATCTTCTAACTCTTGTTTAGATTTTAATTTCCCATCTGTGTTCAGAATATCCTTATTTGTTAGAATTTTCTCAAGTTTAACTAAGTTTGGATGAACGAATGCTTCCATTGTTGATAGTCATCCTGGGATTTTTGTATAGATTTTTGGTTTTATCTTTTCCCATACCGATAACAATGTGTTTCTTATGTAGTGGTTTTGGAAATATCTATGGGTTTTATTCTTTTCATACCGTAAAAATGTGTGCCATCCAAGTTGCAAGTCATGTCCTTCTAAATATAACAATCTTTTATTTCTGAGGGTTATCCATTCTTTTAACCATGTTAGAGCCCATGCTTGGTAGTAAAGATCCAATCCGGTAGTCCAGGTCCTCCATTTTCTTTAGCTTCTTGTAGCATTTTCAGTTTAATTCTGGCTTTCCTTCCTTGCCAAATAAATTTTGAGATCAGTATATTCAGATCATCAAAAAAAATCTCTATTTTTATAGGTACTGTTTGAAATAAAAAAAGGAATTTTAGTAAAATATTCATTTTAACAGTACCTGTTCTTCCTAACACTGATAGTTATAAATTTTTCCATTTTTTTCCAAATCTAATTTTGTTTGATTTAGTAATTTTATATAATTATCTTATTTTATAATTGCACATCTTGCTGTTAAGTATATTCCCAAATATTTAACTTTCTTAACTATTTGTAAGTCTATTTTTTCTGACAGTTTTTTTTTCTTATCTTTTTAACTATAACTTTGGTTTTTTTCTCTGTTTATTTTCAATCCTGCTACTTCTCCAAATTCTTCTATCCCTTTCAATAGTTTAAGAGTTGTCTCCAGTGATTCTTCTAAAATGAATACCAGGTCATCCTCAAATGCTTGTAGTTTACAGTTTTCATCTTTTAACTCCATTCCTTTAACTTCCTCCTTTTATATCCTCTCCTCTCTCCCCCCTCCTCCTTTTCTGTTCAGTGCAGCTCTAGCTGACTCCTCTCTGCAAGGTTGCGTGCTGCTCCTGGAAGCACCAATCAGCTGGAGCCGCATGCCAATCCTAGGTGCTCAGCAGAGCCCCAGCAACACTGCAGCTCCAGCTGACTCTCCCACAGGCCTGTGCGGCACTGTCACCACTTCAGCTCATCTCCTGTTAACTTTTATACTTTTTAAACACTTTTTTATAGTGCTTTTCAACCCGTAATGCATGTACAACCTGCTGAAGTACCACCAGTGGTACATGTACCATGGGTTGAAAAGCACTGTCCTATACTATACAGGGATTATTTGGAATATCTAGTACTGTTATTGTTCTCCAACATTATGCTTTGTTTTGAAATGTACCCACTTGTAATGGCATGTGAGAATGACCTTGGCAGACTTTGGCAGGCTCGGGGGGGGGGGGAAATGCTGCCTAGAGAATAACCAGATATGAGAGGGCGTATCTATAGTTGCATAATAAGAGAAAGTTGTTGAAAGTTGTTGCTGTTCAGAAGGTCCTGGGGAAAGTCAACACTCAGAAAGCTGCGGGTCCTGATAATATCCCTAGGGGAGTACTTAAGGAGTGTGCTGACCAGCTGGCCCGTTCTCACAGACATCTTCAGTCTCATTGCATCAGGCCGTGGTTCCATCATGTTTCTAATTCCATCTCCTTGAGTACAGATTCTCCACAGGGCTGTGTCATGAATCATATTGTGAAGTATGCAGATGACACGGCAGTGGTGGGTCTTATCCAGGATGACAATGAAGATGCTTATAGGGAAGAGGTGAAGGCTCTGGAGGACTGGTGCAATAAAAGTAACCTGGTTCTAAATGTTGATAAAACAAAGGAGATCATTGTAGATTTT